GAAAACCAGAAGTTTAAGGTTCCTCATATTGAAGTGAGGCTTCTATTGCATGGCAATTACAACATAGAAACTCTTAGCAAAGCTGAGACGGGTTGCAAGGAGAAAGAGAACATGTTTTCAAAAAAATTGAATTTCATCAAAAAGTGTGCATGCTCTGGCTGCTAATTTATTCAGTACTATTATGTGCTATGTGCCATACAATTGTACCTTTGGAAACTTTTCTTGAAAATGAATTTGGTGATATTTTGTTGTAACACATACTCCCATGTTTAGCTGATGAAATTGATGGCTGAAGTAGGATTTCGAAATGCACGCATGCCATTTAAATTAGGATGGATGGAGAGTATTAATTTTTATCCAAGTTGGATGGAGAAGATATCTGTCAAAGTTGGGTGGAAAAGAGGCCCTATGTTTCTCCATTGTAGAACACAAAGCAATAGTATGAAGGTAGACTTCGTAAGTTGAGTCATGGTGGTTTGAATACGAGCCACATGGATTTTGTTATATTATCAAGTACAAGATGATATTTGTGGCAACACATTTATAAGCCACATGAGCAATGTTGTTAATTACATTGATTTTTTACTAAGCCGTAGCAATGCACAGGCGTTTAACTAGTATAAATATAAAGGGGAAAGAAATAGGAAAAACAAACAGAAGGCAAAGAAAAGCAAAAGCTACTATAAAATAGAAAAATGAACAAGAATTAAATAACCAAAAAGATTAAAAAATAGCTTATGTCAGTGCATGGCCAAGCAGCCCTTATACACAGAGCCGAAAAAGAAGAACGGTTTAGGGCGAGCAGCAGAGAGTCCCTACACACAAAACCAAGACTTACCGGTATAGGTGGTCCAGCCCACTAGAGCGCTACATGTAGGCGAGCGCTATATATCGCTCGCAATGAGCCATTGAGCGATATATAACAATCACAGAGTTTGATGTGGTCGTGAAATGTCGCATGTCGGCCCAAACGGCAGTTTCTTGTCTGGAGAACTGCGCCATGATTAGAGGCTCCGTAATGATGCAACACAACCTCTAAGCACCATCAATCATAAGCATGATTTGCTACAAAAATAACACATAAGTATGATTTCCACCGATTTCCTCAATCACAACGATGACACAATTCTCGAACGGAGGCACTGTTTTTCTTTTTTCTTTTTTTGCGAGGGAATGGAGGCATATTTAGCATGTACCTACAAGTGGAGATAATATGCACACTGGTGCATTATGCTTGGCAACAGTGAACAAGATATTCATATCTAAACACCACAAGAACAAATGACAGTGAAGGTGACCATACAACTTTTTCCCAGGAAAAACAACTTGCAAGCAAACAGTCATGCAGCTGATATATTGTATAATCAGCAGATCACCCACGAAATGCTAGAGAACAGAATTAGTAAAAACTTTTACTCAGATCTCTCTACATAGTGCAAAACCAGCACTCATCCCTGAATATTGTTGAGCTGGAACAAAAAACAAAATGCGGTGAACGATGACACATATTTACATCTGCCTGATCATCGTAAATGTCAAGTCATCCTGGGCTACTGCTCAAAAAAAAAATTCTCTAGAACACCCACTTAAGGGAAAGCGTTGCGCATTATCATCACCACCTGATGTAACAACTGAAGTTACTACCTGCCCACCACTGAGTTAGAAACACTGATTCTGTGAAGCTATCTTCATTCCTCATCGGGCAGAAGTGTGCAGGACAGCTTGCTTGACTGCATCAGCATTGACTGGCTATTGCCGAAGCAGCTCTTGACACGTAGACTAGCAACTCTTTCTGCGAAGGAAAGGCTCATTAGCTTACTCCTCTTTTTTGAATCATCTCCACTCTTGCTTTGTGTGCCCTGAACCGAGTAACTGACCTGTTGCTTTCTTTCTTTGGTAACTGCTTCTCTGTTTTGTTCGAGTTCAGCAAGTGCAGGTCTGTTCAATGCTTTATCAGAGGTAACCGAAATTTCATCAGCATCAAAGCTAAATGACACCTTCTTTGCTATAGTGGAACTCCTTGGGGATGGGAGATGTGAGTGTCCATCAAACTGGAGGGTTGACACGCGTTTGCATCCCCTGCCCTGCATGCTTGATTGCCTCTCTTTCATGAAATGAGCAATGGCACTGTTTTGACTTGTTTCGCATAGAGAATGGAAGCTTTGGCTCAACACAGGTGCAGGATACATGTCATCCTCATTGTGCTTGACATTGAAAGGTTCAGGACCTTGATCTTCATTGATGATGCTGCCTGGTAATGCTAAATATAAGCCTGCAGGTCCCAGTAGATCTGAAGGGACTGCATCACTGTCAGACTTATAATCATCTAGATCAAGTGGTATAAAATCAGCATTTGGTTCCAAGACTTGCGCTTTGATATCTGGCGCTTTGAAGATCATAGACTTGATATGAGGGTGCAAAGAAGATTCATGGTTATAAGCAGCATGCTTGGCATTTTTTTGCCCATACATGAAGGGAGTGCGTGGTGCGGAGATTCTGTTGTTGCATAGCATAGAAGATGAACGGTTAGGGAAGGCATTGCCACCAGTGTGTAAACTGGACTCTAGTCCAGCACGAGCCAGAGAGACATTGTAGTCCGATATAACTCTTGATTTTGGTTTCTTGTAAGGCTCCAGACTGATCCTCTTTGAAGAAAACAGGTGTACAAGATTTAAAACCTATACTAGGAAAAACATCAGATCAGCAGCAAGCAAAGTTTTAAAGAGTAAAGGCACTAAATAAGTCACATCACAAACATGAAATAGCAAACCTTCTGGTATGATAATACCAAAGAAAGACATTTGGGGTTGAGGTCGCAAACCTGCTGGTATGATATACCAAAGAAAGACATTTGGGGTTGAAGTCCTTTGATTTCATCAGAAAATTCAGCTTCCGTCAGGGGCTTACAGAACCAAACTCTTCTGAAACGAACCTGATTTCAATGACAAGGTAGAACCACATAAGAAACTTTCTCAGCATTATTCCACATGGTTAAGGAAAAAAGGAGCCGCAAGCAAGCAAAACGAAATTTCTAAAAATATTAATAGGTAGGTAATCATGGGGAAATTAATTGGAACCTAAGAGAGACCAAAACCTGATAACCTAGACTGATAAAATCCCAAGAATAAATCAAAACCAACAGCATACTTGCCTGGGCTGGTCTGGGCTTCCGTGATGAACGAAATGCATTAGGAAGGATATTCAGTGCTCCATCTGAAGTTGCCTCAAACACGCCAGAAAGTTTTTTCTCCTCACGCTCAAACACAAAGAGAAGCATACCAGCTCTGATCTTCCTTATGAATGATGTAGCATAATCAGGAAGGGCAAAAAGTTTCTGCTTGAAGCTCTCCAGCTTAGTCACATGATTGCAGAGGATAATAGCACCACCATATACACCAGGTATGCTGAATATGTCCAATTTGTGGTGTGGCAGATTCCTTTTAAACAAAAGAAAGAGACCATGTGAAAATTCACTCTTGAGATACCCAATACATTCAAAAAACACATGCAGTTGTTAAACACCTAGCAGCACAGGTGGGAGAAAAGAACTGAGTCAGTGACTGAACATTTATACAGCATTGCAACTTAATAACTCAAATTAAAGATGATCCAGCTCTAGGTCCAAAGGCTCAGTGACAAGATAAAATAAAGGAGAGTAAAGAAGGTTGCAGTGCTAACAATATATAGTTAGCTTTCCTCCTGCCGAAGGAGCCTGACAAAGACCAAGAATGCCTGTAGCCTTGTAGAACAGACATAACAAGTACATACAGGTGTTCCATGAAACTGGGACAAATGCAATGCAAAGAACAATAACAAATGGTGTGCTAGTACAATTTTTCCAGTGGGGCTGGGAATGATTATGCATGATCCGGATAACAACAGCGGATTATTGAATAGAGGGATCAAACATCCCTGATCCTGCTGTTCCTTCTCTTCTACACCGCTACCTACCATTACCACACTTAGCAAGAAACTGAATTAGCCCCCAAAGTCTCCCCAAACAGAAAACGATCACCACACGTTTGCCTCCATTGGGAAATGCTACCCACTTTTCTCCACCTACAAGTCTAGAACAGGCGAGCAAAACCTGGGCGGAGCATCACAGCAAGCAGGCACAAAAATCACCTAGAAATCAGACTAGTAACATAATCTTAGAACGCATTAGATCGAATCGAGGACCAAGAACAGGTAGGTGAGCGGGGCCGTCACCTGTCGCCGTACCAAGCGCGGTGGTGAAACCCTCCTCTGCCCCTCCCACCCCTCCCCCTCCAGGACCCGCGGCTCCCCGCCGAGACCAGCGGCCTCGACCCCTTCCCCTCGAACGCGCCGCCGTCCTCCCACCCGGTCCCGTCGCCCTCCTCCTCCTCCGCTTCCGAGCCTTCTCCGCCGATCTCCCCGTCCTCTGTCGCCTCCTCCACCTCCGCACCCGCACCCACCTCCATCTCCACCCCGGCGTGACCCACGGCCGCAACTCGCTCCTTCCGTCCCCTCTCCGCCGCCTCCGCCTCCATCTCCTTCCCCTCCGGTGTGTGTGTGCGTGTGCTGGTGCGCGCGTCCGAAAGCCGCTGCTTTGCGTTGTGGAGCTGTGGTTTTGTCTTTAACGAGAGGAAAGGATATAAGGAATGGTCAGTTAGCATTTTTGAGTCTAAACACACTTTATTAATTACTCAAAAATGTTCATAGGTATACAAGAGATGTTTGGGGGGTTTAAAAGCCATACATGGCGCCCGAAATCCAAACCAAAAGCATGCTTAGCGAGACTATGTGCCTCAATATTCGTTGCCCTCCCCTCAAAGATGAAGGAGCAATCATCGAAAGTATTCCTTGACTCCACTATCTCTCTAATGGTACTAGCATAGACGCCACCAGTGCAGTTTTTTATGTCATTCACCACCTCTTGGCAGTCACTTGCTATGAGGATTTTAGCAAGGTCAAGATCCATAGCAAGATCAAGTGCCTCGCGACAGGCCAAGGCTTCCAAAGTCGCTGGATCTGAAATGCCATCGATCTTGATGGCCGAGGCTCCCAAAAAAGACCCCGAAGAGCTTCTGCATACAGCACTGAAAGAGCCAAAACTACCATCTCTGGAAACTGCCCCATCCACACGGATTTTTGCTGTCCCCTCCGCCGGAGCTACCCATCTTGGCTGAACTAATTCAGCTCGTGCGACCACCCTTGGATTCTTCTTTGTCTTGCAATCTTCCAACTCTCGAATATATTTCAGGATGAAGTTGTATGTCGAAAGCGGACTCTGGAAAATATGTTCATGGAGTGCCTGTCGCCTCGCATACCAGATAGCCCATAACGTTGTGGCAACAAGAATGAAATCGTCAGAAGATAGCATATCCTGAATCGCAAAAAGCCACCGCTTCGCATCTGGTTCTGCAATGCTATTCAGTGCATCGACAAGATCCTGGTCATGAAGAGCTCAAACACATCTTGCAACAGTACAGTGAAGCAAGGAATGTTGCCACGAATCTTCCGCTCCACATAATCCACAGCAAGTGGTCGTTGACATATTTCGATGATGCATAACATCCGCTGTCGGTATTGATTGCTGGGCTAATCGCCATAGAAAAATTTTAAGTTTTGGAGGAACATCTACCTTCCACATCGCCTTCCAGGAAAGCTTTTCTCTGTCCGTGTCGGAGGAGTCCGCACGCCCCTCCAACCAGGCCTCTCTTCTCATCTTTGTATCCACCAACATGCGATATGAAGATCTGACAGAGAAAACACCCCGTCTCTCATGTACCCACGACCAGAAATCATCAATTTGCCGCGTACACAGAGGGATAGAATATATGGTTGCCGCATCTGTTGGAAGAAAAACTTCATTTATCAACGCTCGGTTCCACTCAGCACCGGGTAAAATTAGGTCGCTCACTTCTTGGGGAGGATGAGCGACCCTGCTCGTTATCGGCCTCATATTCGAGGGTCTAGGCAGCCAATTGTGACGCCATATGTTGGTGGTATGCCCATCTCCAATCCGTCGGATCAAACCCTGAGTAAGGACCTCCCTACCGTCAATGATAGCACGCCAGATTTGTGACGGAGCCGATCCCAGTTCAGCTTGCAGAAACTCCCCTGTAGGATAGTATTTGGCCTTCAAAAGTCGGGCACTAAGTGAGTCCGGTTCCATCAGGATTCGCCATGCCTGTCTAGCCAAGAGGGCGAGATTAAAGAGCTCTATATCTCGAAAGCCCAAGCCTCCACAATATTTCGGTTGTGTCATTATGCTCCACGAGACCCAGCTTGGTTTCCGTTTTCCCTCCTTACTACCCCACCAGAACTTCCTAATCAGAGTATTTATGTGTTGACATAGACCTCGGGGCAGCCTGAAGCAGGACATAGAGTAAACTGGGATTGACTGAGCAACGGACTTTATAAGAATTTCTTTCCCTCCTGCTGACAATAGCTTCTCCATCCATCCCTTAACCTTGTTCCATACTCTGTCTTTCAGAAATTTGAAGGCTCCATTCTTACAATTCCCCACATCAGAAGGCATACCCAGATACTTATCAGAGAGGGATTCATTTGCAATGTTCAAAACATTCTTTACCTCAGCTTTCAAAGTGGCAGGGCACCCCTTGCTAAAAAAGATTGAGGATTTTGCTAGGTTTATCCTTTGTCCGGAAGCATTGCAGTAGTCCTCCATCAAGACCGACAGCTCATTTGCTCCAACAGAGCTGGCTTTGACAAACAGCAGGCTATCATCAGCAAATAACAAGTGGCTTACCGGCGGTGACGTCGGAGCAACTCGAATTCCGGTGAGGTGTGATGATTCATTTTGGGTTTTAAAAAGGCACGAAAGGCCCTCCGCTGCTAGCAAAAACAGGTATGGAGAAATAGGGTCTCCCTAACGGATTCCTCTGGATGGTGAAAATTGCTCGAGCTTACCACCATTAAACATGACAGAGAACTTCACCGATGTGACCATCCTCATGACCGAAGCCACCCACGCTGGCGCAAATCCCATCTTGATCATGATAGCTTCCAAATAATTCCATTCAACACGGTCGTATGCCTTCATCATGTCCAATTTAACAGCACAGAATCTATTGCATTTAGCTTTGTTCCTTTTCATAAAATGTAAGCATTCATAAGCAGTAATGATATTGTCTGTGATTAGCCGACCGGGGATGAAAGCAGACTGCTCTTCAGAGATAATATCAGGGAGTATCTTTTTCAGTCTGTTAGATAGGACCTTCGAAGCAATTTTATAAAGTACATTGCACAAACTAATTGGTCTGAATTGAGTGAGATTTGTGGGGTCCTTTACCTTTGGAATCAAAACCAGGAAAGTCTCATTAATCACCTCAGGACTCTCCTCCCCACGAAGGATGCGAAGAACAACATTGGTCACTTTTGTACCACACAGTTCCCAGTGCCTTTGGAAGAAATGAGCTGGGTATCCGTCAGGCCCAGGGGCCTTAGTAGGATACATTTGGAAAAGGGCACTTTTCACCTCTTCACCCGTATAAGGAGCCATCAGTCCCACGTTCATCGCATGCGTGACTTTGACTGGGACCGAGTTGAGTACTTTGTCCATACCGCTGGTGCCCCCTGATCGAAACAGGTTTTTATAAAACTCCGTTGTGATTGAAGCCATCTCCGCTTCATCGGTTGTTACTGATCCATCCGGACGTTCAAGAGATTTTATTGTATTCTTTCGGCGACGCATACTAGCTCGTCTTTGGAAGAATTTGGTGTTCTTGTCCCCATCCCTCAGCCACTCCACTCGGGATCGCTGCCTCTGTTTGATCTCCTCCATGTGATACAGCTCAACAAGACGGTCAATAATTTTTATCTCTGCATGTGATGGCGCTACTCTTTGGGGGTCATTTTGCAAAACTGTCAACTCTTTTTTCAACTTCTTTATCTCTTTCGGCACGCAGCCAATTGTTGCTCCACTCCACTGCTTCAAAGAAGCCGACAGATTACAAAGTTTGCTGCTAATCTGCTCAACAGTCATACCATCGGCTGATCCTTTCCACATTGCCTCGAGAGAAGAGCCAAAATCTTCTTGCTTCTCCCAGTATACCTCATAGCGAAACAGTTTTGAGACCATCTGCTGTGGAGTGGTATGCTCTAGTTGCAACCTGATCGGACAATGGTCCGACGCCGCCCCCGTTTCATGGTGCAGGGTTGCATGTGGAAAGATTGAAAGCCACTCCGTATTTGCTAGGGCTCGATCCAGACGTACCCTACAATATCCGCTTCCCGAAGTTTTCTTTTCAAAGGTCCATCGTTTTCCATTATATCCTATATCAGTGAGAGCACATATATCAATCGCATCCCTGAAGCCTTGGATTTGTGACCGCCTCCGTTGTCCTGCCCCTACATGCTCATAATTGTGAAGAACTTCGTTGAAGTCTCCTATACACAACCATGGTAGGGAACTCGCTGACACGAGCGACTTGAGAAGGTCCCAAGTCTTGTATCTCTCCGCGACTTGTGCTTCGCCATAAACACAAGTCAAACGCCATTCCTCCTGATTTGGAACCGAAACAGATGCATCAATATGGTACTCAGAAAAACCAAACACATCAAGCTTTATTCCATCATTCCAGAACATACCCATGCCTCCACTCCGGCCAACACTACTAACTGCATAAGCATAATTAAAACCTAAAGTACCAGCAAGGTTTTCGACACGTGCTTTCGATATTTGCGTTTCCACTATGCATAGCACCGTCAGGGCAAATTTCTTCGCGATCTCGCGAAGCTCGCGAATTGTCGAGGCTTTGCCCGCACCCCGACAATTCCAACATATGATACTCATTTCTCCCGGCGGTACTCCACAAAGGAGCCCGCCGATCTATGATTATCTGCCACGTTACCTTTCATCCTGTCATCACTACTCACTTCGCCACTGCCTCCTGCAACAATATCCAGACTCCTGCAGTTGGCATCGCCCTTCTTTGGCCTCTTAACTTCCTTCCTCGGGGAAACATACACTGGAGGAGGAGGAGGCACTCCCTTGGGGGTTTCCGCAGCCACAAGTGCTGTTACCACCTCCTCTGCAGTTTTCCTTCCTTCTACATTATCAGCTGACCCCGAACTAGGAGCAATGATGCTGTCCTCCGAGGAACGTTTGAGCGACATCCCTGCAGTCTCATTATGTATGTCCACCATTGTACTTTTGGTCACTTTTACCAGATCACGCCCTTCCGGGATACGATCATTCTGCTTCTGAACTTGAGCCTGTGTTTGCTCACTTTGATGTGGGTTGGGCACATCATCTTCCCCTTCATCTTCCTGCGATCTCCCCATCGAACCAGAAGCGGCTGCAGGGGTTTGCGGTGGCCTAGCGTTAAAACGCCAGCTTTGGTTCGGGTTGTACTGATCCCTCCCCCTCCCACGTCCCCCCATTGCATAGCCTCCTCTACCTCTCTGCGAGGAAGATCCTCGCCCTGCTGTACGGCCCCTTACATTTTCTGCCAACACAAAATCGCCCCATTCAAAGGTTGTTTCATCATGCACTCCGTCTCCACACTCCTCATGCCAATGA